AAAGTTCCTCAGTTTTTATCTGGTCACAGCAAATTTTCAAGTTGTCTGTTTCGTTTTAATCTAAGATTAAACAATTTATGTGAATGTTCAAAAAGAGTACCCCAGGATGTGGAACATTTGATTTTCTCGTGCCCTACATTTGATGTGGCCCTAGATTATGCTAGCAGAACGATTTGAAAATGTTCGGAGTGACTGGCCCGTGAAACTTATCCAGTTTTCGTGCAGTCCAGACTGCGTTTTCTGCTTTTGTTCGCTTTATTTATGCATGTAATTTTTAATGTTTATTTATACATGTAACCTTTAATGTTATAGTTAACTTACTTCTGTAAGCCCTGTGTTGTACATATGTAATGCACGGGGAGTCTGTAAGTTCTCAAAGGAAAAAAAAAAAAAAAAAAAAAAAAAAGAAGGTTGGCACGAGGTTATGCTTTTAAACTCTCCCAGCTGCGCATATCATATGCGCATAGCGCGCTTATCCTTGTCTCTTTGGCGTCGAAATTTAAATCATTTTTCCTGCCGAGTTTCATGATTGTGACTGGATATTTCTTCTGGGTGCATGTATTTTTTTGTGATAGAGTGTATATTTTAGAACGTTGCTTCATTATTAGAACCGTCAATAAGATTAGAAACAATTCACTGCATGAAAATGATTTATTCTGCTTTGTAGTGGCAATGATGAAAATTCAAATCGTTTGGTTCTGCACTCAGACGTTCTTCGGCTCTCAAAAAGTATTTGCCTGAATCGTTTTCCTAAGCTTGAAAACGGATAGAAAAACCTCGTGGAAATTTGATTATGTCCAAAATGATATCGCTTATTTGAAAAACCTGTTTAAAGTATTCAGTGAAGTCAGTTTACAACTGCGAGGTGATAAGTTTAATTTGATTATGATTAAAATGAAAACGTTATATTCTCATGCGGGTTTTACGAAGCGTATTTTAAACATGAATCTACAGTTTTTAGATCTTTCCGAAAATGCAGATACAGCAGAATCGTCAAACTGAGAAGAAAAACTCGTAGAACTCACAACTAACGAAGAAATAAAAATCAAATTAAAAAATGAATACCAAGAGTTCCGGATTCAAAAATCAGTACTAGCTCTCTACCTTGGGCTGTAGGCAAGAGCGCTGAAATTTGTAATTGCTTATCCTTCATCTTATTTGGCTGTGCGTGGGTGCGTGGGTTCAGTGAACTTGCTAATTTACTATCTCAGAAAAGGAACAGATCGCACTTCTCTGAATGCGACTGTCTGCGACTGATGTGAAACAAACTGGCATTAACAAACTGTTAAAACTCCACTAGCTTCAACCATTTCATTCAATTTTTTACACCTTATTGATTATGTGTTTATTTTTAAATTTTTAATAAATAGTTTTTTTACCACATTTGATGGTCGTTTTAATTAAATTATACTTTGGGATTCTAAATAGACAGATGGACAGTATAAATAAGTGTAGATAATATTCAACAATAATTTAATACCTGTATAATTAAGTATTATGGAAAAGGAGGCGTTGCAATTTTTTTTTCTTGCAAAAAGGGCCGGTGGTCCAGAAAAGGTTGGGAACCTCTGGTTTAAACTAATAACCTTTAAGCTCGAGAAACGAGATTTGGTGAATTTCTGTATGTGACAATGGCCCATAAAATACGGTTTAACCGAAATAATCCTACGCAAGAGACAACAGAAATTGGCGATAAAGAATAAATTAGATCAGAGGTGGTTTTCCGTTTTAATTTGCATTACCTTCTTCGACTGGTACTATGAGAGGTTTCGTCTTGTACATCGCTATAATTAATTTTTTATGTTTTATATTTTAGATTCTGCTGAGGTTTGAATAATGCTCAGTTTTGATTAAGGTTAGCTCAAAAACAGACGCATATTATATCGAGGTTTCCATGGTACACTACTATTTGGCTGACATAACTGCAATTAAATATTGCGTAAAAAAAACCTTTCTCATTGCCCGTAATTTCATAAATTTCCCATTTTTCAAATGCTGGCTGACTTTTAGATTTTCTTATATACGAACACAAAATGAATAAGCTTTAAAAATTTTGCTACACGAAACAAGAATCCTATTTTAGAAAAAATATAGGAGAAAATGCAAGAAGCACAACTCGTAAAAAAAAAAGAAAATTTCTGATTGAAAGGTTTCACATTTTAAATTGCGTCCAAAGGGGCCTTTTTTTCATTTTGTGTGTTACATTAATTAATTCAATATCACGTTCTCCGCACTTAAAACATAAAATTCAGTTCAACAGCAATACCACAGAATAGTTTTGAAATGAGCATATCTTTAGAATTTCCGATACAGAGATTTGTGCGCTAGAGATAAAAATGTTTTTTCTGTACAACGTTGCCATTGCTCACTTTAAAATCCTTGAGTTTGTTAATTTAAAAATTCGTTAAAGTTTTACAAAATATGAAATCGATAATTAAACAAACTCCAAATTTCAATTTGGGATTCCAGCTGCCCATATACGAAGAAGGATTACGTCTTCAAAATTGATGGCTCTAGGTACCGTTGTTTATCTCAATGCGAGGAACATAGACATACATTTATGCAGATTTTTCAATATTTAATGTCCTCAAATATAATGCAGGACTCTAACATTTGGTGGCAACGGCTTGAAAAGTGAAACAGACATTTATAGCGAACCAACGCAAAATCGCAAAACGAAAACAATAGTCCTTCAGGGACAAAGCCCCTTTGAACTAATAACCTACTTTCCCTTAGAAATTATTTTTACTTTCTATATTACTGTTTCAATATTTCTTCTTAAAATTATCTTGGATAATTCTTCATTTATAGAATTAGATCTGTTTTGATTTTTTATGTATAATAAGATCTGCCTAGTTGAATGGATGATATCGATCCCAATTTCTGGTATCGAAATTAGCTAATCATATACTGACCAATATTTTCAACCAAGAACATTCATTATAAAGCCATTAAAGTAACTGCTTTATTTCAATAATCATTTGAGTGAAAAAGACTTTTAAAATAATTTGTTTTAGAGAAAAATGTAGCCTTTTGTTATACGTCGTTTTTACTTCCTTGTACGAAATAAAAAGGAAGTAGTGTAATCGCAAAAAAACTTCGGGCATCATATTTCAACGAAAATATCCACTTTGAGGGCTATCGAATGAAATTTAACGATATTTTTGCATGACATCCGTACGTAAGTGATAAGTACGTTAACCGTGAATAAAGGACTCTTTTCCCCAAAAAATTATAAAACTGATTTAAAATGAATTCTGAAGAGAAATTTTCGTGGCGTCTGTGTACGTATCTCGCATAACTCAAAAACGAGCAGCCTCAAAACGTTGAAATTTTGTATATAGGATTGCTATAACATGTAGATGTGCACCTCGTATTTTGGTTGCAATCGGCCGCACCAAAAGTATATAAATATATGTATTATCCACTCTGTTACACGGCTCAGTAAACTCAGTTTCTTTATTCTTATATGTTTGTATATTGCGCACTTTTTGCTTTAAAAATGATTTAATTATGTTATTCTTATCTTCCGGTTAAGGTTTTTATGCCTTTAGTAAATCTGCATGCAATATTTTTAAAATTATTAACAATTTAAAAGTTGTTTAAGTGCCGCTAAGCCTAATTATTTTTGCAATGGCGGCAGTGTTTGTTTACATTTGAAACAGCAGAATAGTAGATTTGTTCCCAATCTAGAGAAAGTAAGCTTCGCAATAACAAAGATAACGCCTTCTTTTATTATTGCGAATTAAATCATGCTTAATACATTCTGGAATTTATTCGAGGAAATAAGTGTTTAAAAATTATTTCATAATTTTCAATACAGATATTTTGAGATTTTATGTCTTTTCACCTTGTCGCGAAGTGAAAACTGAATAAATTGAATGAGAAATACTGAATTGTCTGTGAAAAACTGTTTCTTTTTTTGTTATTGTTTGCTTAATTTCTTTTATATATCGTTTCTGATTTATTATAGTATTTGAATAGAACATGTGGCAAAGATTAGATAATTCTTAAGATGATATAAAATTTTTGCATTCTGAGTTAAAAAATGAAGGAAATGTTACGCTGTTAAGTGAACCTAGGGCCAGAGTGTCGGTATGGTAAAGAAGTAAAGTGAATTTTAAAAAGTGCATTTATTCTATTGTGGTTTATGCGCTGTCAGCGAAATAAATTTAATTAAATCCAATAAGTTTAACTGAAATGCAAGAAAAAATGCGTATGATTTAATATTCCGTACAAGGAAGTCATGTGGTGTACACATCAGATTTTTTATAAGTAGACGTCTGATTTGTTTTAAATGTGCTATCGGAACCAGATAAATTAAAAATACTGGATTAAATTAATTACTTGATGTTTAACTAATGGCATTCTAGACAAGATTCACGAATATATTAAGGAAAGAGTATATGTGAGCCAGAAGGAAGTATTTCAATTAGGAGACAAAAAATTACATAGATTTTTTTCCTTTTTTTATAGCGATTACATTCTTTGTCTAATTAGCTAGTAAACGAACAGGAAATGCAAAATAGTAATATAATTGCAACTATAACTGAATTTAATGGAAAACATTTCATACAATTAAAAAAAAAAATTCCTTTCTCTTTTTTTACTCTCCCTTTTTGTTCGAAGGGCATATACTTAGATCATATGAATGCATTTACACAGAATAAATTGCTCATGAAAAAGAAAGACCACGGGTTTGCATCTTGGGTAAAACGTAAATCTTGAAGTGAAATAAATTCCAAACTAAAGCTAAATTTTGTTATTTCTTCAGAAATGTTTATGAATGTCATTTTCATTACAATTTCTACAGCCAGTGTTTGATATATGCACCATACAGATAGTACTATAAACAGAAAGCAAATTTATAGCTACGACTTTAAACCACAGAATACGAAAAAGAATTTTAAAGCACATAGGTTATTCTGATTTTCCACTTATCGTGTAACAGCAAACAACTCTTTCTTAATTATCTACAGGGAAGGACACGAAGTTGTTACCATCAGAATTCCTCTTCGAAGTGTCTGAGACATCCTTTCCGGCGCCATCTTCCACGTAATTGCTACTCGTACCACCAGCTGTCGCTTTCGATGCTCCCATGAAGTCCGTGGAGGCGGTGGAGTCGTAACGCCCCCTACTGAGGGGTGGATGGCCATGCGAAGGAGTACATTGAGACTTAGTATGCCTCCGTATGGTGGACAGACGACTGACAAACGATGTGTTGTGCTTAAACCTGCAATAAAATGTTACATTAGGTTTAAGTGCATGCCTATTAAACATAATGGATGTTGTTGAAAAGCTAAGTATCATTCAAAATTGCAGTTATTCTAAACTCATAAGAATGATAAGAAGTTGCTCATAAGAATAAGTTTTGAAGCACAATTAACTGATCCATCAACTGAATATCAAATGCATGAATTAGGGACTATCAGGTAATTGAAGTTTAACATTAATTTTAAGAAATCGGATCAACCGAGCTTTGTTGAATCGATTTCAGGTCCTTTTTATAGAAGATAAATTAGAGATTTACCGCATTTTCAGCAGTATCTTAAGACGCTGTTATTTTAATCGGAATTATATTTATTTGGAAGATTTACTAAATTGTGTGACTGTCTTCGAACAATTTTGTTTTGTTTCCTGTTTCCATTCGTTGCAGGAAAACTAAATTCCATTTTGTTTCCATTTTTTCTCATGAAATATTGAAGAGCTAAATTATGTGTCAGAACCCAAGGAATGCTGAGGATTATTGGTGATAATTAGCAAATCGTGCTGATTGATAATATTGGAAACGTAATTTTTACTGCCTTTTAAGTTCCTTTTTGCCTTTTACAAAAATATAAAACGTGCTTTCATTTTTATTCAGCGATTTTTCATTTACGCACAGGCTGAGTATCCTATAAGTGTTCAGAATTAGCATTTCGGATACGTATAATGAAATAGTATATGAATGACACCAAACTTTGAATGTGAAATTCATTCGTATTTCGTATCCATGTGATAAAGATAGGTATTTTTATACAATATTTTTATTAAAATTTTGTGCCAAACAAAATGTGCCCATAAACCCATTAAAGTGCAACCTCAAACATTGGGAACCTCTCTCCCATATTTAGGAATATCTCCCATTTCAGACAGACTGGAGACATTCAAGTTAAATATAAACAGGATAGCTGTGAAGTAATAATATCGCAATATTATTACTAATTGCATTAATAATAATATTGCTGCCCAGATTAATTGCATTTAAAAAAAAGAGTTAGTTAGTTTATTTCTCGAAAGGCATTAAGCTATTTCAAATAAAAAGTCTTGAAGTTAATTAATTATTAAAACAGATATCATTGAAAATAATAGAGATATCCAGCATTAATGTTTATAAGGAATTTTAAACTTATGTGGCCAACCATCTGAAACCATCTTGTCAGAAGCAGAGTACTGAATGTCAGGCTCTTCCATTGGAAAAATGGTTTTACATTTCTAAACTAATTACCTCTATCTTGGGATATTATTGCTGCCTGGCAGCATGCAAATTGATAGGGCAAGAAGATTAGTTCACTACATCACCCAGATAGCGGATGTTTATGGATTTTCTCGTCTAACAACAGGATGAATTTGAGAGGAATATTTAAATTCAGTATAGACATGAAGGATATAAGAATACTTGTGACCGTAGTTAACGCAATAATAGAAATTCTGGCAAGCATCAGATGGTAACCATTAAACAGGGACTTTTGAGCCAAACATGATTAGCGCTAAAATTTTTACTAAAAATCGTAAAAATTTTAGCGCCAATTATGTTTGGCTCAAACGTTTCTACTACCCGATACGAGATTTATGTCTCCTAAATTCTGCCGCCTAGTGCGCCTGCACCAGCTTTGATGCCAACTCTGGAGACAGACTACATCTTAATTCAACACCGGCACTACTAACCCATCAGCATGTACTGCATAAAGAAAATTGCACTATAATGTTGTTAGTCTGATGAATATCTTACCAAGCATTGAGTGGATGAGCATGTTTACGTGTGAAATAGCAGATCCATCTTTTGAGCAAGGAATTGTGTAAGCTAGTAATACTCTTTTGTGGAAATATATGACTCCTGTTTGAGTTATTCCGAATCGTTAATGAGAACGGTGTCCGCATTGATAGAGATCCCTTCATGCAATATGAAACCATTTAATAGACAGCAGCTGAATGTGTTGCGAAAGAAAATACCAATATAGCGGCTTCACAGCATCTCGTAGATTCAGTGCCGCCTAGAATATGGTTGCTATTCTGGGTGAAGAAGGAGCTACATATTAAGTAGCTGCCTTTAGTGCTTTGGCACTTGAGTTTATCTTAACTTGTGTTGGATTTGACAGAGTACATTAAAAACTACTGGTGATCTCAAGTGATCATTGAAAAGAAGTGAACCAAAATAGAGCAACAATATGCATATTTTTAACATCTTGATAAAATTTTATATTTGACAAGACCTAGTTCGGAATTGTGATAAAGTAATATGAATGGAGCACTTTAAACAAATAAATTTTATAATTTAACAACTAGATTTGAAAATAAATTTAATGGAAATAACTCCATTGTTAACTAGATGATAACTGAAATTATAATAACGGCTAGACTGAGGAGTTAATTATCAGTTTAAATTCTCTCAGCAAATTTATTTCATAAAGTGCTAGGAAAAGTGCTCTGAAGGTAAGTTTATATAAATGTTTCAATATATTTATTTTAACTACTTTGTTTAAATTAAAATAGCTATTCTTTAAACTTATTTTAATTAAAAATTCTTATGAATGCAAAACAATTGATAAAAACTTTAACTTCTACAAAGTTTTACTGTAAGAAAAAATTTCGAATGTTTCTAATTATTTTTCATAACCCTCTCTCACGGCATTCAGATGCAGAAATTCAGCAGATTTGTTTTCCGCTCTGTATTAATGAGGAAATTACCCTTTAACACATACGGCGCCATAATGAAAATAAAAATTCCGATTTTACTAGCAAAAAATTGTTTTTAATAAAAACGGATCAGAACAAATCTGAAAGTCCATTTTCTCTATCTGTAACAGGACATTTTAGATAATATTTTAAAATTGATACATTTCTTTGATTCACTCGCAGAATGTGACAAAAAAATTTATAATATTTTTTTCATTTTAGCATTAATGACACGCATAATTTATTTCTTAGTTTCAGCTAAATTTTTATTTTATTTCTATAAATTGTTTTATTAATAGTACTATTAATTGCTTTTTGCTTTCAGCGATAAATAAATAGATTGCATTCAGTTTCATGAAAGTAAAATAGTGTATGAATCGAGAGTTATTTCATTAGATATAATCAAATATCTCACGCCTCTTTTATTTCAAAATGGGGCCTTGATCAGACTCACGCCATCCCATGGTTTTATATACTCCATTTGTTGCTGTATTCCACTGGTTGCATATTTTATTTTCACAATTATTTTGCAAAAAGTATGTAAGTATTTTGAATTTGAAAGATCTCATAGCTGGAAACAGTACGTAATGTATAGAGTTATACCACGCTGCTATTTCATTAAAAGGTTTGTGATGCAGATTTTGCAACCTACACCACTTTACGTCAGTAATTAAAGAATGGTGATGTATGTTCTAAAGATTTATCCTCAGTTTTCTGAGTCTCCAAAAATTTCTAACTGATAATTTAGTTCACTTACATCAGGCAGAAGAGGAAACTGTACATATAATCATGTTTTTCACGACATTTTAAATGCAGACTAAGTGAATGGTTAGAATTTCGAAACAATATTAAACATGGGCACTTCTAACTGCATAGTAAGTATTAAAGAAAATTTACGAATAAAAGCCTTTTATAAGTAACACTATATATTAAAAGATTTTTTTTCAGTTTAACGTACGTGTGGGCATGTTATAATAAAATATTTTAATAACAAATAAAGGGTTAATTTAACACGCTTTATCATAGACATCTTTGGATTAAGATGGGGATATTAAATGCCTTTTCTGCATGTGATAGCAATATCAAAGAAAATAGGAATTATGATTAGATAGAGTAATCTTTACTTAAACAGATATTGCTTGAGATAAATTTGGTATAAATTCGGTATAAGTTTCGCCAAAATAAAACCAAAAATTTAAGTCAATAGCTCTGCGATAAAAAAAAAGGAATACTTTCGTACACGTTTAACGCAGAACATGGATTATTCAGGGCATGTACCAGTTTGCAGTCAAGTTAAAACATCTATTAACGTAAAATTCAAAATTTCTGAAAGGTTTTTGTGATTTCTTAAAAACTCTCCTATTTCATTCTCCTTATAATTCTCTCTGTTTCATTTTAGTGTAGAGGAAATATTAGGAACCTGCTATTTGTTACAACAGAAAATGTGGGTTATTTAATTTTTAGATGTTATAAATACGCGTGAAATGCTGTATCTGATTTAGTTTGTTACTAAGTCACGCAACCATTCGTTGACACGTAGCCTCAAAATTTCAATGTTGACAGGTCACTGAAAATTTGAACGTGACAGATCGACTTGAAACTTAATTTGTACAAAAGAAGCAGGCTACATTAGAATGTATGCCATCCAACATTCTGAATTTCCACCTGAATTATTCCAAAGAAAAGCTGAAAAGATGATCAGGCAGGGATATTTATATGTTCAGTTTTAAAAAAAAGCTTCGAAGTTATCGCGCGGAAAATCATGTGATGCCGTAGACTTATAGTATATGTAAACATGCTTTTCGTTAATTTCTCTGTGAAGAGAGTTTGAAAATAACCTGGGTTGAGTAAGGACTCAAATTGAAAGGTAATGTTATGAATGAATAGAAACAGAAGAATTAGAAAGAAGTGTAAAGGAATTTTTTTATTTGGTTTTTATTTACAACTATCGAAGTTATTTGCGCGGATGCAAAAAATTTAACTCATTTAAAAAATGTTTCTTATGGTAATTATTCTTAGTAATTTCTTAAATAAATTACAATAATCAATAATTGCTAAAATTTAACGCACTTATAGCAGAATATTGCATTACCAAACATGACAGAATTATTTCTTAATTTAAGAGATTTAGCTAAGCAGTAATGAATCCTACCATTAAACGTGATATTAAACCTTTCAAAAATATAAATAATTTTTATATTCGCTTTCCTTAAGGATTGGCGATACGAAAATAATTCATTTTTTTAATATCAATGAAACTTCAACTAATATTAAACGAAAATAAATAACACGTAAACATGCTTCAGTGTTATTTACGCACAAAGGCAACTGAGAAGGCAGTGACAGTGTAAAGTAAGTAAAAAGAACAGAAAACAGGTAGAAACAGAGAAAGTAAGTAAGTACTTACAGGCTTGAGGTGCCTTGTGGAAGATCGAGCCTGTCTTTGAGCTTAATGCTCGTGAACGAACCGGAATGGAAGCTAGAAGAGAGAAGTGAAGAGAAAAAAAGAGGGTGTTGCTGTGTATCAGGAATGAACAGTGCGGCGAGCAACAAGTGGCATGCAAATGCTATGCTACCCGTGGGTGAACACAAAACAGAAAGAACACTGAGTTCAAAAGTAACATAATCATGCATGATGGTATAATTGAAGAGTGAACTGATTGGTACACGTTTATGTACTTAACACACATTAAATTTGAAACAGCCTAAAATTTAAGACGATTTTAACTAACATGTTAGTTTTCTTTAATTCGTTTTCGTAGCTCCTACATCTTCTTTCTTAACTTCTAGCCATCACCAGAATGTGGATTAAATTGAATTTAAATAGCGAACGAATTTTCAGTTTAAAGAGAAAGCTTTATAACACGCTAGAAAGAAGGCTATTTCCGAGACATCTAGTGTGTGCAGATCTATAAGTGAGATTTTTGTGTCGATCTGTGTTTTTGGTTACCGATTTTCCATTTTTTTTAGCGTGTAGGGCTGGAAGCCGCGCCAAATACAGATAGTTAGGCGCTGATAATTATTTTTTTATATTCCATGCTTTCAAATATTTGAATTCTGAGAATTCACAGGCTACTTTTTCCTCAAAATGTAGTTGTGTTAAGAAGCTTGTTTAATTAAGCAACGATTCTTGACTGCGTTCTCGAAGGTTTAGAGTTCTAACTGAGTACGAAGACGAGAATTCATCAGGAGGGCTTAACAAGATGTAATTTAATAGTTTACTAGGTTTGACATTACCGAATGCGATTAAGTTAGGATCACGAATAGAGACAGTACCAAAAGCGCAGAAAGGAAAATCTCTACCTTCATTTACAGCTCATTAAACAGTCGAGAGTTTCCTCGTACAAATATCCACTGTTTCGAACAACTCGGTAAATTCTCTTTGATTCTAATTCCAAAAGTTTTAGCTGAACTAAAAGTAAATTCAGCATCATTTGATACACGGCTGTCAATCTCTATGGTATGCATCGCATGTGACTCCTTGAAGTAATTCTACTACAAAGAAGATGCTACGAGAGCTTAAAATTTCAGCCAATAGCTTTATGCTGTTGGCTGAAACTTGCCGTGCTATTAGTCGCTGTCTCTAATAGCAAAATAACTAAGTTGGTAAAATTGCTCTGCTTAATACTTAAGTGCAGCGTTATTTTTCAAACCTGTCACATTAGTTAATTTCCTTTCCTCTCCTCTATCTTAGAAATGAGCCTTTATCTGAAATTATGCAGTAAAATTAAGAAATATCTTAAACTTTTTTCGTATTTGTTTCTTTTATCTATATTTTCTTATATTGCTACTCTGTAAATATGATTTAAATGTACAAAAGAGATGCCCTAATTATGCATACTGTTCTAAAGATTACATGAAGTACAGAAAGATGAGAAAGCATCAGAAGCTTTCATTCCTTTTCTGCCTTTCTCCTCCTGTCAAATCTGTTATGACTTACAATACTGGCGAAAATGTCTTAGCTGTAATCTTTTGATTTTCTGCATGCACTACTTGTTTTCTCTCGGTATGTTCGTATTGTTGATCTCTAACTATTGAAATATATTTTCTAGCTATTTTTAATTCTTTAAACTTTTAAAATACTTTTACTTCATTATTGAAGAAATTGTAACACCATTTGTTAACATAAGTTATTTTATACTAGTAAAACTGAGTTTTAAAACGTCTCATTAAAGGACCCTAAATTCACATCGGAAAAGAAGTTAAAAAAGATCTTTGAAAATTCAGTATAACTGGTCATTGATAATTTTTTTCAATATTTTTATTCCGTTAAAATTTATCATCGAAATAATGTCTTAAAATACTTATCATGTAAGTCTGTAATTTATTTTAAATTTGTGATAATGTTAAAACTAAAGTACAGTTTCCACATAAAATGGTTTCCTTGTATTCTCATCCTTTCAAATTATGATGTTTCCATATTATACCTCCAAAAATTATGAAGAATGTAGAATCATGTTGAAAGACACTATTAATTCTGACCAAAAACAACTTAAGACGAATCTAATGATATGACACGCATTATGTCTGTTGTTGTTATCAGTCTCACTTGTCTGGCAATAGTCAGCACATGCTCACGACATTCATCGTGGCAAAGAATCAAATGTGTCTGCCTTTGGCATGAGCCTTGAAGGTTATATTGGTGACAGCCCGAGATAGTGGTTCATCATCTTCATTTTTAATAATCCGTTAACAAATGCTGAATCCTGAAACAACAGAAAAGTATCTTCTGAGATGCGAGATATATCATCAAATGTGAGCACTAAAGGCATCGCTTATAAACCTACATTACTGTAGAACTGTGGTAAACCATAGTACCTCAAAGAGTAAAAAGAAGATTTCCGGTTGCAAACTCTCTTTTTAGCCTTTGTTAGAAGTCTTTGCTCACATGGATCGAGAGCTTGAGTCAAATATTATAAACGAAGTTTGTCTGTGAATATCATATTAAGTTTAATCTTAACTTTTATGTTCCGTTAAACCCACAAGAAGTAGAGGTCTTCTGTTATAATACGAGCTGTGTAAATTTATCAGGCTTTACGCCTAGATCAAGCTATGTGGAATAAATGTTTTAGACTGAAGTACTAATAAAAGGATTCATTAAACCCTGCCTCGAGTATTACTTTACAGAAAGATTTAGGTGGGGCGTAAGTCGCCCGGCTGCTTTTAGAGAGAGAATTTAACATTTAACTCCATGTAAAGATGTAAAGCTAACGGAAATGTAAGGAAGTAAGATTATTTGTTTCATGAGATATAAAAAAATGAGCTAAAGTTTTATTATTTTCGAACCGTAACCTATTGTGATTCTTTTCTCGACCAATAGTTTAAAAAGAAAACAAAGAATACAATTTTGAAACCGAAACAGCATAAGTAAAAGTTTTAGAGAACTTGAAGAAATTTTCGAACACATTTTCAAAAACTCGTTACGATGACTACGTAATCTGAATTTAAAACATATAACACTAAAAAGCGATGTTAGATTCTCACATGATATTAGTGTGTGCCAATGGCACATTAGTATCATATGTTGTTACGTCGGTGGCCATGAAAGATTAACGCAAAAATGATTCCAATGCGGTATCAATTCCATTAATTACCATCAAAGAGATAACACCAAATTGGCGTCACTCGCTATGATGCTTAGCTTAAAAATGGCTTTTAGCGGCTTTTAACGAAAGTAAGCTTTATTGAGCGAAATTAACGACTTGTAACGAATGGCAAACAAATGACGCTTTTGTGGTTTCATTAGTCTTACATTTTTACACTTTATGTCCAGTATCAACTTGAATAAAGTTAAAATTAAGAAGAACTTGAAGTTAAAACTAAAAGAGTTGTAGAGCAATGTGCATAAAATTTCTTGGAATTTTCGTTCAGTACAACATATTAAGGAATATTAGCGAATTGAACTGCACAGCTAATCAGTTCACTCTTCACATAGAAATCTCGCTCCCAGAAGCACAACCAAAAACATCCAATCATAAAAGTGGAACACATAGTTTTAGACTCTAAAAAATTACAATAGAAGTGATACTCACGCAGGAGGACTAGGTAAGGGCAACTGGTGGATCTTCCAGGTTGCGACGGACATGGAATTCTCATCTGCGGCGTAGCACCTCCATAAGCATTGGATAAGATTCGCCGCTGGAACTCGTCGCCTGATCATGTGCTTCTGGCGCTGCTGCTGTTGGACTTTGAGAGCGAAACCGGATCCCAAGATACCCTGAAATAATTCATGTAATCCTAAGAAATCCACATTTAACACTTAGGCTAAGTTCTTGGTGCACGGAATCGTAAGAATACCTTGGTATACGGAACTAAGAAATGGAGCAAAAGTTAATAATTAGATTTAAAAAGTAGCAAATTAAAAAAATAACGTTCTTTCGCTTTCGTAAATAACAAAAATATTTATCGATGATAAGAAATATATGTAATAATAATACACTGTATGCATTTTATTCGCTTTTCCCTCATTGCGACGAATACTAAACGAAAGCTTTTTCTTTGTTGCATAATATCTTCATCTTCTACACTAAAATAAATATAAATGTTTATCTTTTAATGTATGCAGTTTCTGTTTCATTGCTTTTCACATGACAAAGTTTTACGCATTGCATAGTACGGATTGCTAACATGTATTCTCTTTTGAATACTTTACTTCCTTCAGTGGAAGATATTTATTAAGAAGATGAAATAAGGTAAAAAAGGCTTTTATAAAATAAACTTTTATTAAATCGGATATAACATCAGATATATATATTATTTTTAATCGGATATAACGAAATGTATTTATATTTTCGATGGAATGATTTTTGTATTTTTCATACTTTTCTAGAATTTCTGTAACTTGTAACGAAAAAAATCACTAACCGTTAAAATCATCCAGATTTAGGATATTTGGATCCACACTTCTCATTTCATTCTTGAAAAAAGACACATTTATGCTACTTTTATGATATCATCATCCCCCTACGTTTCCTTGTATTTTAAATAAAAGCAATGCTAGGTGTGATATCCAACTCGATGTACTCGAGAATAACGAGATACAATAAACATATCTTAGGACACCATACATGGTACACATGACAACTAAAAACAAAAAAGAAAAGGAGAAAACGTGAATGGGTTTTGTATGCTTTAGTTTTGCAAGAAATAACATATTCTTAAGATATAAGGTTATTAAATCTTTGTATCACAGTAGTACATATCGTAAGCGAAATGACTATAATAATATACTGTACACTACTGTGGATATTATACAAAAATGGATATTATATAAAACACATAGGTGATGGAATTACTTTCTTTTTTCGTATTTTCCAGAAGAAATTCGTACACTCGCATATTCTTTGACCAAACTCTTTGCACTCTGTTTCTATGTCAAAAAATTATTCGCACGGCCAGCTGTAAATGTAAAGCTTCTGAAAAGTTTTCTATAACGTAAAGCTGTGTAAACGTAAAGCATTGAGTCTATTCAAAACATACTAAACAATATTAAAAAATATAAAAGGGATGCAATCAAATCGATATCTGCCAGAAATACAATTTATCCAAATTTACAGCTGGCACTATATGAAAATATCGTAGGATTTTTCTTATTTTGCATAACAAATTTATTTTAAGTTTGATACCTAATTTAGACTTCTGAACTTCCCCTCACATTCTCTCGCCAGGATGTAAATTTAATTTAAAGTTAAGTGAACTGCTTATTTCAACGTGAGAATATCTCAGTTTATTCAGAGCGTGTTTCGCTAGCCAAGCGCATGTTTCGTTGTTATTTCGCTGTTATGATAGTAAGCCTTTTGGCCTTATCAGATTTAGCCTCACGCCGGTTAGGTTCTTCCGAGTCCACCTCTTAGGCGTAACTTAAGTGCTATCTTGCACTATTTATTTCAGGTTTGATTTACGTTCTACATTTTAGTTTCCACCGCAAGTTTGACGGTGCTTTTGTAACGCACGAAGACCGTGCCTTTCTGTTAACTATTTTGAATTAATTAAAGAGTTAATTTTACCCTTTGTCTGAGTCAGTAGTTAAATTCACGTCTGTGCGAGAATTCGCCAGGTCATTATAGAGTCATTCTAGTTTATGTGGAACAAGAGAGACAGACTCTATAAATTCAAAATCGGCAACTTATGCACGCGGAAAATATTTGGATAGTAAAAGAAAGCTGAGAAAGGTTGGAGAAAATAGAAGCTCAAGAAACATTTCTGAAATGGTTCACCATTCAGAGAAGCCAATATCTGAAAAATTGTTTCAGGTAAAAGCAAATGAATTCGCCAGATACTCTGAAGAGAATAGAAAAGAACGAACAAATTTACTAACTGCGCGTAATAATAATTGCAATTAAATTTTAATAGCATTTTTTCAATAATTAGAGTTATTATTCACTTCTTTTAGTAGACGTGACTGTTATTTTTATTCTTCATTCAATTTTTACGCGTTTGGGATATATGTTATTGAATCTCATATACCGAACCAAACTTCCGGTTCCTTGAAGTTCATTATAGCGGAGTTCAACTGTATATAGTTACCAAAGAATACGATTGTCTTATAGGGCTATTAGTTTCAATTTTTTTCAATGGAACTGCCTTTATTTTCCTTTATTTGCAAGGTTTTAAGCTTTCATTTTTACTTTACTTTGTACCTTCTTCTTCCGTTTCGCCGTAAGTCATTTGTAATATATGTATATTTAATTGCTATAAAAAAGGCGCAGCACGTGTATGAGTATGGTATTGATTTGATAGCCATGTGAGGAAGATATGTTTTTACTGACTGTATTTGATGCATAGCCTAATCCGCTTGCAGTATGCCTTCGTAGTAATACGAAGTTTAAATTAGTTTCTTAACTAGAAATTTGGCAAGATATTAACAGTCGTTAGGATCCCACAAATCTTTTTCGACTAGATTTTTAATTCCGGAAAACAGAATTGGCTGCAGAAATGTTTCCGTGGTTCCGCCCTTACGTAAAATGTGAATATTATAAGCAAATTTCCCAAAGAAATCCCTTCAAGAGGGCATCGTTTCCCTTAGTCAGGTAGCCTTCAAGTGCTTTGCCGTAATCAGTTAACCAAAGAAACGCTCTAAGTTACGGCTGGGTTATTTGCATTACAACAAAGCATGAAACCTTCGTGGAAGGCGTTTTAAGGGAAACTGGCTCGAACTGCAGTTACACATGGAGAAGAACATTAAAACTCTCACGCAACCAGATTTACCATGCGGATTAGGGCTTGAACAGAATCAAAAGGCTAATTATACTACTTTAATCTTTATCTTTTCCCAAATTAGGAAAGTCATCTGGCTTGATTTTCAGATCTGGTCTGCATTTTCTCCGAAATTTGTCTTTACTTAGGAAATTCGGCACAAACCAAGTAATTGGTTACATATCCTTTTGGATCCTTTACAATTGATGCATATCCGTTTAGTACCTTTTCAAAACGATATTCATTAGATATGTGTTTTTAGGAACATATAAGGCGTACCGGAAGGTCATAACAGTTCATTCAAACATCCGGCTCTTAAAACCCCTACAGTTTACAATCACTTGTAATTTATTTTTACATCTGGATGATAAAATTCCACTAAAATGTATCATGTGGCCATTAATTTCGATAATCTGAAAATAGATTTATTTGATTGATTTTTAACTAGAAGCATGAATCTGCTGCCACGCGTCCAAAAAATATTTAATCATGCAATACTTTTGAAATACCATGTATAGTGCAAAGTGTTAAAAATGGGATGTAAAAGAAAAGACGATAAATAAGATTAACGAAGAGCAGGA